GTTGTATTGTATTGTGTTTTTATGGAAGTAAATGTATGCTGTTTAAAAACCTCGCGATTGCTGAACAAGAAAACGATACAATACAATACAACGCTAGCTGACGTTTCGGCAGTATCGCCTTCTTCAGAGCCGTTTTTTCGTGACTTCCAATGAGGAAGTTTAGAACAGCTGATTATAGTCGCATGTGGTTGACGACTAAACTTCCTCATTGGAAATCACGAAAAAGCGGCTCTGAAGAGGGCGATACTGCCGAAACGTCAGCTAGCGTTGTATTGTATTGTGTTTTTATGGAAGTAAATGTATGCTGTTTAAAAACCTCGCGATTGCTGAACAAGAAAACGACACATTCATATTATTGCTAGGGTTAGTATGATATAGTATTAGATCTATATCCAACAGTTTTCGAGTGGATTTTTAAAAGTTTATGTTGATAACAACTACTTTTCCCGAACAATGACGAGAACTAATTTTCTTGAAAGAACCCTTATCGGTTTTTAGTTTTGTTAACCCACCGTCACAGTTTCCACCCATGGTTGAACCTAGGCTAAACAGTAATTAATGTATAAGTAATAAGCTGACCAACAATATGATAACACAGTTGGTTTTCTACAGGATGAGGATGTTGATGTGCAAGCTTAACGACGAGACATCCCCAGTCGGATGGATGATATCTTTACCTCTAGTATTCTGTTCTGTCTTCCGACATTGATTATCTTATATTCTCTATACATCATGTACTTCGGGAAGAGGCCGATTTATTTTTCAAACGGGTGAAACGTGAGTTTTCTCATTCAATCAACGTTTGTAGTCCAATATCTCCGCCATTTTGTCCATTTACGGGGATTTTTGAAAGCTTACTTCTATTTGTGAAAATTTAACGAGGTTTACTTATTGTTATTTTGTTTGCGTTTTGATAGCCAATGAATATTTCTGGCAGCGTAGGAATTCCTCTTTTTTTGTATCCGAAAATCTTCATCCGTTTTCCCCATATATCATTTAACAATGATTTTTCCCATGTAACTATTCATTATGGAATACATTTGCTTGCTTGTTTTTACCGTAAGTTTTTATAGATACGCTATTGAGAAGTTTCATTGAATTGTTCGTATTTCTATAGTTACCAAAAAACTTAAACACAAAGCTCAAAGTGCTCCGATATGGTATTATTGATCGAACCGTGAAGGTGCTTCACGATGTTCATAATTTTTGTGTGAAAGAATAACCATGGAGTTCGTGATACTGGTCATTCTTTAAGTTACATCTTAGCATTAATCATCTATTCAGTCTTACAATGGCAAGTTGATAGACATATAGTCGGCCACAAGCAAATGCTACCAATTGTGAACTACTAAAGGCTTTGCTTACTGAGTAGTACTCGTGCGACCAGTTTTGGTCTCGCTGTTAAAGGATAAGGGACTTGATGAGCCCGGAGCGGGATCTAACCAGCATCGTGCTCGCGATGGCCGGCATCACTGCCACCATGTTATCCGCTCCCTTACCTTGTTCATTATGTCAGAGTATTAATTTGAAATGGTATGTGACAATGTGGCAACTCGTGGTTCAAACTCCATAAGCAAATTAGTGTTACAACACTTTTCAAATCGATAAAGTAGCCAGGCCTTGCAAGGAATTTAATTTCGTGTGCTTACTTACTTGATACTTGAAAGGCCCGTCCTCACTAGTTGCGCTAGCTCCAGCACAATCACAATTTTCGGAAATTTGCTGGTTAAGCCATTGTGGTTCCCTGGAATCCCGAGGACAGTCTGGCCAAGTCTGCCCCAGATCTTCACCACCACAGGGAGTCGCAGCCCTTGTCGATCAGAGGGAGATTTACCACCGTACGACTTTGATACCAGGACGGTAGTGGATTCTACTATTGGTTTACTCTTAGCTAGATTTCCTGGTGGAAACGCCAGACTCTCAGTTTGGGAAACCCTACCAGGGGGATGAATCCCCTCGCTGTACATCGCATTCCGACACCCAGGGACACCTCCCAGCCACGATGAGGTGGTGAATTGTTGGGAGGATTTCGTATGCTACCACATAATAACAGCACTTAGTTTTTTTTTTATTATTGTTGCAAAATTTTAGCCGAGACTAAAATCTACCGAAAAAGACGAAGGATTTTGCCGCAAGTTGATACGTTTACGGGAGAAATAATCTATTGTTGATGGAAATTCATGAGATTTTTGTGTTACTGGTAGGGGGATTGGACTCTTACGTGTGATTGAAAGAGGGAAACTTGCTGTGTTTCGCTTTTCAGATTCTTGACTACAGTGGGCGTCGATGGTTTTGGAAAGTAGGCATTGAATTGGATCCTGTTTTAGATTATCTCACCAATTGGTTAATTTTTTTTCTCTGTCGTTTCTAGGATATGTTCAAAAATACGCGTCCTACACTTGGTGGAGTAGGCATGCGATTGATGCAGAAAATGGGTTGGCGACCAGGTGAGGGGCTTGGTCCTAATGGAATGGGTGCTACTGAACCACTGTTGATGGATGTCAAGAATGATAGGAAAGGTGAGGAAATCGTCTTCGAAGTTTTTTGTTTCGAAGGTATTTGTGTTTATAGGCCTGGTATCGCAGGATGATAAAGGTGCAGAATCTGTTCCTGTAATGAAGTCCGCTGGTGTGCCAGGTTGTTCAATTTTATGCCTTTGTTGTAATATTCATGTTTTAATAAGTATTCCTTCTTAATGAAATGTGCTTTATTGTTTACTTGGGTATTTACATAAATGCTTAAACGAACCGACTTCAGATGTTGTGGAGGCTCGACCTAGTACTCCAACTGTCCCTTATTTTCATAAAATTCTGGAGTAGGGTTAACTAGGAGTGAATGAGACTGATGTTTGTTATCACCTTAACATCAGGCATAGCTAGTTCACACATACGTTTAATTGTTTTGAGAGTTTAATAAGAAGATTGACTTAGTAGATAGTATGAGTAATATTGAATAGATGTTACTAGCAACGTAGGATCTACTCGAGATGACACGGGCTCATTCTACAGTGCTAGGATTAATAGAAAGTTGGTTCTGGGAATTTATTCTAAATACATCATGTCCGCGACTATTGTTGGTATTTGCAACTACCGCACTTATATTAAAAATTTCGCGACTTTGAATTTCGTTTTCAGTTCTTCTGTAAGTTTACTTTCAAGTGGTTTCAAAGTGCGAATGAGTAAAACTTAAGTAGAAAAGTGACCTTGGAGCGACGGGACAAAGTGTTAAATTTTGAATTCTAGATAGCTCTGAAAACAAAATAGTGCTCTTGAAAAGTAGAATACTCTTGAGCAGAACCTTTTCTTCAAGTTTCTTAAATCTAAGCCTTTGATATCGTGTTAATTTTCATGCTGTATCCTTAAACATATCAGAAAATACCTAAAAACTGAAATTCGATAGAAAAAATTCGAAAGATTCTACGCAATGGAGACGTCCTAACTCATTCGATTTCTGAGTAGCGAACCGCAAAACATGAGCCCATCTTGGCACACAGACAGTTCGAAATTTTTCGACCAGAGTCTATTAGGAAGAAAAGTGTGCTAGTCCCATTATCGAATTCGAGATGGTTATCGTCATTTTCAATGCGTTTTGGTACTGTAGGACTGAATGCTGATCAGATCATTTCGTTGTCGTAGTGGATCAGCTTTTAAAAATACACTACAGTTCGATAAAGGAGATGGTCGATACGGCTGTTCGAAAGAAGTGAATAGGAATTGTTCAACCGCCGAAGTGTTTTTATCATCCATTTGATCGCGGAACATTTGCATAATGACACTTCTTCCCGATCAGTGAATAAAGACAATGAAGCACCCATATTTTGAACTGTCTGTGCTACGTTTTTCCAGAGACGGTTTCTGAAATGTTTTTCGAAGTGCTATGATCTAGTGGTGAAGATCGTTCAGTAATTGGCTTACGACTTCTCCTTAATTCCTCATTAGTTCAACACTTCTGTATCAGTTTGTGAACTGATGGATTAGCTATTTCACCACATTTCTAAGCTTAAGGTTCTATGTCCGGTGATATATGTCAAAGTTTGAACCCGTTAAGTATAATCGTCTGAAAGTCCATTTTGTCTGCCCTCAACAGAAGTGGACCCTCTTGAATTTAAATATCACAAAGGCATCGGAAAGGTGATGAACACATTGTTCCTAATTAGAAGTAGTTTGTTATATAATTTAACTATGCTACTGTAGGTCCCGAAAATCCTCAAACTCTAGGTGACCTAGTGGTTCATGTTAGTTTTAACTTTGTAACACTATTTTGTAGCGTTATCGCTTTTGTAGAGAACATTTTCCTACTCTACGAAATAACATCGTTTTGTAGGTATCGATGGGACTTTCTTTGTTATGTTGGTGATAAATCCATCTGTTTCAAACATCTTGGTAACCGTGTTTGTCCAGGTGACTACCGTTGGCCACCACGTGACCAGAAATTATTTTGGCACGTGCAGTGCGAAGAATGACTCATAATTCCTTTGCAATTTCTCATAAGTAAATTGAGAAAGTGTTGTAGAATTTCATTTCCTACTTTTATACGTATATGTAGCATTGTTGTTGGATGATGGACTACATCGAAATGTGGCAAAGAGTACATCTGTCTGTCTATACTCTGTCTCTGTTACTCTGCCTATAAAACTACACACATGTATACCTTAAAGAAACTTTCTTAGTGATAAAGCATCCGGTGTCGATGGTAATGGAACTGTGCACCAAGCGTAAATGGGAAGTACCAACATTTAAACACAGCGAAACTGGCCCTTCCAACATGCGCGAGTTCCGTTGCTCGGTAGGTGCATGTATGTGCTCATCATAAATTCTGTAAGGTTCGAACGTATATTTAAGGCTGTCGTCAACGGCATTGAATATCAATCGAATGTTGTCTCCCGTAGTAAGAAGGACGCAAAATCGGTGGCATGTCGCGTTAGTTTCACAGATTGTTTTATAACTACGCCGCGTTTAACTTCTGTTTACTGTTTATTCTTTTTTCGTGGCACGGTGTTGTGTGAAATACAACCGCAGGAGTGCTGGGATATGTGCAAAACTCGGAACCGTGTGTGGATTTTGAACCCGCGATTACCCTTTTCGGAGGTCCGCGTATTATCCACTGCACCAACCGAGGCTCTTGTTTTCCCTTTCTATCAACAAGTTTCTTAGCCTAACAATGCTATCACCATTTACCCATTAACATGAGTGATCTGGAGAGCATAGATCGGCATTTAACCCACTTAACCTGATGTTCCGAGTTTTGCTTACGTAGAGTTCATTCGGATGGTGTATTTTGAATATTTGTCCTTTTCTATGTATATAGTTTTTCGATAAATGGCAAATCACTCCTTAACATTCAAATGAACATGCGAACAGTGATGCGGATGCTTCACTTGATTGTCGAGTTCATTATACCAATTTCAGGTAGTTCTTCAATCTCTCGGCCTTATACCTCGTGATCCAACATTACCGGTCGTTATTAAGTGATTGTATTGCCAACTTTGTTAGCTTGTTAGCAGTATATTCTACTTATTTATATTAGGTTACCCTCATCTATTTCTAATGTTGTACATACCTGACTAGACCGAATATTCCTCGAAGGTTTTCCCAGGAAACATCAGTATACTATGCTGAGCTCGTACACGTGTTGTTTGTGAAGTTGATAAATTATTCTGTTTCTTCGTTGGCAAGTTTATATAGTGTGTAATTTGAATAAAAAGTTGTTTAATATCTTTCTGTATATGTATTATGCTGAGAAGCGTAGCACTTTTTGTCGACAGAATCTTTATCGATTTTCTGCAGGAGATCGTTGGGCTAACCAAGCAGTGTAGATTTGTGTTCTGTTATTCGGTGTTTTCAGTTCAAATGGTGGCATTGGATCGAAGACATTGCTGAGAACGTAGATGTACGGAGACGCACTTGTTTAGAGGGAACATTTATTCTTGGGGCTTACAATTTTTAGTGATATCAATCCATTACGCGGACGGAGTGTGGAAGCGAGACTAAATAAGCTAAATGGGAGCTATATACTATTCCACCTGTGTAACCTTATTATTTGGGAGGAATTCGTATCCACTTTTTTCGTTGTGTTCTTTTCTTCTCTTCCTTTCTTTCGTAGGAATTCATTTTTCATGGGCATGAGTTCAATATCATTGATAATTGCGACAATAAAGAGCAGCATAGTAGGATTTGAAGTGAATAGGTGGGTAGCGCAGTGGTAGTTATAAAATTCATTACGCTGAAGCGTGAACATATCGAAGCGGTGGTTCGACCTGGAACAGTATTCGCCAAGCCTGTAATCATTCCGTGGTCGAGGAATTGGTACCAAACTTATCTGTGACCAGGTCACTCCCTTTTGTTTACATGGGAACATCTTAGCACAACCATCCGAGGATTCTAGAAAAAGTCGACGCAACCGTCATTTAGCAATATTCATGAAAAAGTCGAATATTCTCATGCAGCAGCCGAACAGAAGCGCAAAAAGTTGGGAGACCGAACATGGATTTTTTTTTATTATACGAAACTACTTAGTGTGGTTAACGATATGAACAATTTGGCCTTCCTATTGAGGTTTTGTTCAGAATTGGAAAGGCTCTTTAAGAAAGCCGTCCTATTGGAGTTCCACTAGGTTTGTGTTGAATCGACCGTTTACTGGCCCAAAAGTGTAGGCACACAGTTGAGTTGATGGTAGCTGTCGAAATCTTTACTACCATATTCGCAGTCAAGTAAACCACCGGTTTTTTGTGATCGTAGTTTCCACTGTGGTAGAAACACTTCAAAACCCTGGGTTGGTTGTCACTTGTAAGACGCAGTGGGTTAGAAATATGAGTATTTCATTTCACCTGGTAGTAATAGTGATGTTTTCAGTAAACGGAACATTTCTACCTTCATAGAGAACGTTGAGAAATTGAGCCATCCTTTGTTTTACTTTAGCTCTGGAAAACAAAAACCAGAGCATTTCTGTCTTCAGTAAAGGCGTTTCTAGAGGATACGACGTGAATAGGAAGTTTGCTCCAAACCCATATTTAGAGGACGGTTTCGATGTATACTGTCTTCCAAGAAAGTGCTAACATTTTAGAGGTTTAATATTTCCATTCGCATTCTAGTTTTTCACTTTACAAGTTGGTTTTTAAAATACTGATTCGCTAGGTGTTAGCTGACATGGCATTGACTGCTGCTAGTCGACAGCTGCCGAAAGATGCAAACCACAGGGGATGGCAGTAGATGAGCAAACGTTGTGTGTGGAAGGACTCTGACGAGTGAGGAAGCCTCATTAAAGCAGTGCCTCACTCCAGAAAACTCGCTTGGAAGCAACTACGAAGATTCACATCACGAGGACGAACGGCTGTTGACATCCGACTTGACCAATCTCGTCCTGAAAAAGACGAAGACGTCGAAATGGGATCGGAAACCAATCCGAATCTGAGAAAAACAAAGACATAGGGACTTTAGCTGGATAGGATGTTCATAACAGCCTCACTTTAGCTTAATCATTTAATTTCCTTAACCTTTGCGTGAAACTTCTACTGCTACCCCATCACTCATATCCATTACAATTGTTACAAATGAGCTATTGATGAGTGAGTGCTATTCGGATACAAAAAGGGTGCTCGTTTTCTAAGGTAAGCAAACATACAATATCGTAGAAGCAAGTGTGGAGACGATTCCAAAAATTTTATAGCATATTTGAGAAGCAGCAATATCTCACTAAGTAGATGAAATAGGTTTGTGAATTAATCGCGAATCTACTCAATCACGAAGTGATCCTTAAACATTTCATCTAAATTTACGAAGGAATATTACCGAACTTCTTATAGAAAGTTTTGTCGCTGGAGTTTCGTGCAGGACGGCGCCGTTTACCATCCTGAACTTAGATGTATAGGTGAATTAAATCCAAAGATAAAATACTGGTAATGCTCACCTGGGAAACATCGTCATCGTTGATCGATTTCAAATCGAATGGTGACACTGGGTTGAAGGCATCTCCATGAGCGTATGCATACGGAGATGTACCCTGATAATTTTGTATCGTGCGGTTGGTGAGGACGACGATTTGTTTTGAGAACTTACAGCTTCTACTGCTCCTGAAAACGGCAATCGTACGCCACTCGTAGTGCCTAGTGATATAGGGAAGTCGATCCCACCAATGAAGAATGTGTCATCGCCTGTAGTACCTTTCTATGGAAAGTAAATTCACTATTTCGGAAATCACTACTCTATACCTATTTTGACCGAGGTATAGAAATTATCCAAGATTGTATGCTGTAAATGTAAGCAGTATGAGACATTACTAACCTTGTTCGACCTCAACGGCTACACCACTGTGATGAACAAATGGATTGCAGTACGGCGGCTTGCACTTGATCGGCTCATAACCGTATGGAATCCGGCCAACCACCACCTCTCTAGCATTTCCTGAAGAGAGAGCTATTTTGTCTCCTTACTCGGAGTTTCAGGGTCCAATTTTGTAGTAGCTGCTGGAACCATCTCTAACGTTGTAAAATATTTAGCTGATATGAAGCTACATATGATTGGTCCGGATTGTTATTTTTGATCACCATCTTTCCAAGATTAAGAGAACAATCATTTAGCAATTTTAACTTATTATTTGCTGCCTACTCTTTTTAGCGGCAGGGTATATGTTGTGAAACATAACTTTAGTGATGCTGAGATATGTGCAAAACTCCGGACCGCAGGTGTCTGCGGTGAGGAACGAACGCTCAGAATCATTTAGCACTTAGGAACCGACGTGAGTTCATTTCCTCTCATACAGCGCGAAAATAGCTGCCGTTTCCAAATCTAGACCAACATATCGCAGCTCGATGTGAGCTTCATCACTTTGGATTAAAAATATTTTGTAGCGTCTCTTGTATAAGTCGATCAAGTTTCCAACTTCTCCAGGATTCAAATCGTGAAGAAATTACTGGCATTTCGCAAAAAACAGTTGCTGTGGCTGAGAGTTGAAACTGTAAAAGTGAGCTGTCATGTATAGTGCTCTTTGGGTCACCCGTTAAGGAACGCGCACTGCCCTCTAGAACACCGACGAATGGAGAACTTGCAACGATACGACCGTCTATGGTCACTACCGAGAAGGCTAGCAATCGCTGGTGCGAATTAGGATTTTAATGACCAGCAACAGTGATTACAATTATGTTAAGTTCAAAATTAAACTAAACTCACTTCGAGCTTCCCTGAAAGATGGATTTTGAGCAATCAAGGCTAGCGTCTCGGGCTTGATATCTAGCGGATTTTTGGGGCTGGTCTGATACCCAGTCTTTACGTCCAAATTAATGTGTCCGGCATACATATTCGCATCCATATCCCAGTTACCCCAACCGGGAACCGGAAAGATCAGGTCGCCTGCTAGGGCCTGAAATGATCTTTCTTGAAATTATTGTCTGGAAGTGACACCACTTCATTCGTAATTTCGGAAAACACCATCGGACTATGGAGCCTTTCATAACAGATTGGCGATAATGCAGAAGTTTTCCAAAACCACTGCATCAGACGACACTCTTTTTTCGAACACCGTGTGCATGAACACGTTGACTTTCGTCGGGAATACTCACTTAAGAAAGGAGCCCAGTCCACTTTTAAATTGGGCTTTTCTTATTTTCGCTAGTAATTTTCGTGCTGTTTTTATACGTATCTTTTTGCCCTTCTTCGTCTTTTTCATGTTTTCTGATCTCAACAATTCTGTCTTGTGTACGATGAAAATAACTTGTCCGTCATCCAGCCGTGACGCTCTCAGTTTTCAATAGTTGTATATGAGAGAAGAAGAGCGCATTTCAATAGTTTATCAAGGCATTTGGCTCACGGAAATTTGGCTAATTAAATGTAAGACTTTATGGACGAAGGAAAATCTTTATGCCTTATATTTGATATGCAAAAGCCTCACTGGCTGAGAGCTCAGTCCAAAGGAGGGATCATTTAGAAATTCAGAAACTGTAGAAAACGACTCCCGAGGCAGGTGATTCAACTGAAGCTGAAGAGGGAACAAACGAAGGCCCAACGGAATTGAAGGGGCATAACAGATTTTGAATTGGAAGATAAAGAAGGAATTATTATATTGTCCGTTATACATGGCGTGATCCTCCCTGACAACACATTGAGGTTTTCAGCGGTGATCGAATGCTGCCTTAGTAAGAAACATGGAGACATTATATCGGTTTTTACACGCGATCAACGAACAAAACAAAAAGAACTTATAAGTAAAGTATAATGCGTGTTGAAGACTTGGATTTATTTTTTTGAAGAAGCTTTCTCGTAACCTAAGTGGGAAGTAAAGAGACTAAAGCCGTGTGTGGTGCAGTGGTTGGAGGTGCCACTGCGACACACAAGTGGAATCGATTCCCGCGCCCATGGCCCACCAAACCTCCCATCGCTCCGGAATCTGCAAATTGGTACGAGACTGTCTGGGAGGGTAACCACACTGGTATAGAGAACATTCTTCAAGAACATTGGAATGTTCTCTTTGTAAAACATTTCAAAGCTCCTCCCATGACCTTTCTCCATGGCGTTCTGATAGCCGTATGTGTAACATTCTGTTATCGGTTATCTCATGAAAAACATCTGCAGTTACAGTCCTATGCTTTAAATATCGCCTTATCAGATTGCAATGGTAGAGAAATGTTTCTAACACCTCTTAGTGGCAAACCATCTCTTTCTCTACTGTAGCCTGACTCCGCCCATCCCAAGAGGTACATAACCAGCTCCACGGTTAGCTAGCTCAGGTTATACCAATGCTGCCCAAGTCATCATGTCCTTTCCTCACATCCATCTCATGTAATAGAATTTATATAACAGTCTCTTCACTTATTAGCAACCTGAACATCAGTGATCAGGATGCGCCTATTCATTACTTGTATCGTTGTTGTATTAATTGTACAGCTGTATTGTTATGCCATAATAGCTGTATGATTACGATAAAGGTTTAATTACTCAAGTTTGAGGTGTCCGGCATTGTGACTGCTACTTACAAGAAGTCTCGCGTGGCGTACACGAAGGTGGGCAGCTAATTCTAACTGAATCGCCTTAACTACTTGGTATTCCTATATTAATGAGCCATCTCAACTAATTTTGGGGCATTGGGCGAGAATCGAACCCGGGTCGCCCGCGTGGCAGGCGAGCATTCTACCACTGAACCACCAATGCTCGTTGATATAGGAATACCAAGTAGTTAAGACGATTCGGTTAGAATTAGCTGTTCGCCTTTGTGTACGTTACGTGGGACTTCTTGTAAGTAGCGGTCAAGATGCCGGACACCTAAAACTTGGGTAATTAAGCCTTTATTATAACCATGCAACTATTATGGCATAACAATACAACTGTACAATTAATACGACAACGATACAGGTAATGAATAAGCGCAGCCTGATCACTGATGTTCAAGTTACTAATGAGTGCAGAGGTTGTCATATAAATTCTATTACATGAGATGGATGTGAGGAAAGGACATGATGACTTGGGCAGCATTGCTATGACCCGAGCTAGCTAACCGTGGAGCTGGTTATGTACCTCTTGGGCTGGGCGGAGTCAAGCTACAGTAGAGAAACAGATGGTTTGCCACTAAGAGGTGTTAGAAACATTTCACTACCATTGCAATCTGATAAGGCGATATTCAAAGCATAGGACTGTAACTGCAGATGTTTTTCATGAGGTAACCGCCAAGGGAGTGTTAGACATACGGCGATCAGATCGTCATGGAGAAAGGTCATGGGAGGAGCTTTGAAATGTTTTACATAGAGAACATTCCAATGTTCTTGAAGAATGTTTTCTATATTCCCTTCTCTCACGAGAGTACAGGGAATAAATGTTCGGCCGAGAGTTAAACCTTTGTGTCGCCATTGATGATAGGCCTGACACTTTGTGGAGCAGTGTTTGTATCGCGATGCTGGCTTGTTCTTTTGGGTGGAAACGCCTCGTTCGAGTTTCGGTGCTGGTAGTTGGCTCGGTGTTGTTGGTTCCCGTTTGTGTAGCTGCATGGAGAAATGCTTTGATTGGTGTTTGTGTGGTGGCGTTTTTCTCTGGTGCTCGTGGAGTTTGAGTAGCCTTGTCCACTTTGGTTGACATTTGGAATTGTTTATTAATATTATGCCGCAGCGTTGTATTGATATATGGAGAAAGTACGGTAGTGAATAGTAGGGTAAAATAGTAGGGCAAGTTGAGTAGAAATTTGGGTTGGCGAAAATACGGCAGTGAATGGTAGAGTAAAATAGTAGAGCAGGATGAGTAGAAATTCGGGACTGTTAAATAGCGGAAATACGGTAGTGAATAGTAGAGTATAATAGTAGAACAGGTTGAGTAGAAATTTGGTACATGCCATATGTTGAGATCCAGGTTGACGTCCGTGGCACTTAGAAGTGTGAAAAGTTTGATACGGTGTTGTCTACGAATGTTCACCTTGACAACTGAGGTTTGAATAAAGCGTATAATTACTGCTATGATTTTTTTAACATTTGTCGGAGAGTATTTTTCCAATGAGGTGAAGATATCGTTTCCGTTCTCTTTGTCTGAGTGGTTGTGTTTTACGAGAAACAGTTGCTGTTCTTCGTGAGGAAATTCTTGGAATATCGTGCGTAATGGATTATTGTGAAGTTGTCGACACTTTTCCAAAGAGCCTTCGTTGTGTTTGAAAGTGTTGCAAATGATTTCCCAATTGTCTGGAGATTCTTGGAGAAAGGGTGGTCCGACCCACCAGAAGTGGTCGAGCAATTCCTTCTGGCTAAGACCACGGGTTGCACAGTCCGCTGCGTTACAACGTGATGTGACGTGACCGAAAAGTATGTGATAACCGTTTCTTTGCATGTGGTCGACGAGTCTCTCGATTTCCAGTAGTCTGTTGAATATTCTGAGTCCAACGTTCTTTATTTGTTTGCGTTTTATCCAACTAAGTACGATCTCCGAGTCCGAAAGGATGAAAATTTCTTGAATTGTTTAGGTCCTTTGAAGTTGAGTCAGTACGGCGTTGGTTAATCGCATAGTTATAGTTACCGAATCTAGCTTCATTTTCGGTACGGTTGATGTAGATTTTAGCGAAGGCAGTTTGCTTTTTGCCATGAGAAGATTGGTTGAATTTTCGGAGCGTAGATAAATGCAGGTGGCCAGAGCTTCAGCGCTGGCGTCGGCGAAGGTTACTAGAATGTATTTTGTATTTTTTGTTCCAAGACAACGTGGTAGAGGTTTCGTGAACCCTTGCATTTCCGTGCATATGGCTATCCATTCGTCCTTGCAGGAATTTGGTAGGACATGGTCCCAGTTGTACTCGTCTTTCCATAGACTGCGTAAGAATATCTTTGCTTTATGAAGTAAAGGTGTTAGAAATCCAATGGGGTCGTATACCGAAACTAATGTGCTAGCCACCGTTTGCTTGGTGATACGTTGATTTGTTCTTGTCATGCATGTTATCAGCAAACAGTCGGAGTTGGTGTTCCATGATATTCCCAGTACTTTCGGTAATTTGGTGTCCGCTTCATCATTGGAGAGTATTTTTGCCATTAGGTCAATATTATTGGAAGCGAATTCGCGTAAATTCATGTTGAGGTCTTTGAATATTTGTTTTGTGCGTGAGTAGCTTCGAAATGCTTTTTCGAGGTCATCGACGGTTACAACAAGGTTATCCCACGTATAAGTTGTCTTTAACTTGCGTTACTAATTCTGGTTCTTCTTTATATTGATCAAGATGAAAACGTATTGTTCTGGCCAAAAGAAATGGTGATGTATTTAATCCGAAAATTACTCTGGTGAATCGTAGGGTTTTAACGTTGTTCGGAAGTGGTGGCAGCCTGTTATCATGTAACCAAAGGCATCGTGTGGCATTGCGATCGTCGTCATGGAGTCGGACTTGTAGAAAGGCCTTTTCAATGTCTAATGTAATCGCGATTCGTCCTATTCTAAAGCGAAGGAGGTTTTCGAACAATTGTGAGAGGATCACTGGTCCTCTGTGTAAGACCTTGTTGAATGATGTGCATCCCTTGTAGTGTGCTGATGCGTCATAAACTATTCTGATCTTAGCCGTATTCTTATTGGGAGTTAAGACTGCTTGGTAAGGAATGTAATGAACTCAGGAGCTTTGTGGTGTTTCGTGTTCTTTGATTTCCTCTAGGATGTGCAGGCGGAGTTGTTCTTCGAATATGCCATTGTACCTATCGAGCAGATCTTTCTTGTTTTGTAGGGATTTCCAAACACTTATGAGTCTATTAGAGTGCAATTGCTCTATTATCAGGTATATAGCCATAGATGAGCGTCTTTCCAAGGTAGACGAACGTAATATCCGTCTAACCTTTTTCAATAGTTTCGTTGAAGGTTTGCTTCGTAGGTGTCACGAACGTCTTCTCGTTTGGTGTTGAAAAGAAACAGCCTGATCTGTGGTGACGTTTCTGGCACTTACAACATGATGACCCGTTGCACTGAACTGTGTTGTGGGATGAAGAGGCGCAAATATGGCATAGCTTATTATTTTTAAGATACTGTTATCTTCTTTGAGGTGTTTCGTATTTACTGCAATAGAAAGGCTTACGATCGCCTTTACAATACATGCACAAGAGCTTTGTTGTCGGCGACCTCCAATATTTGACTTTATTGTCGAGACAAACTGTATCTCGAGGAGGTGTTGAGGTGGTCTGGCGACATACCAGTTCCTCGCTGGTTATAACCTCTTCGAAATATTTTAGAAGCTGCTGCATGATGAAGGGTTCGTCGGGAGAAGTGATCTTTTTGTAAAGAACTTTACGTTGGATCCCGACCGGATTCGAAAGCACCTTTTGATACGTGGACTGATTGTCGACATATTCACCTTTTTGCACTAATTGGCCTATGATGGCTTCCAATAGTTTGCGTTGCTCTTGTATGGACGATGAGTGAAGGGAGATTTTGTCCATCTTTCTGAGGAGCTGGCGAATGAGTTCTTCAGAATTACTGTACTTATTAGTAAGAAATTCTATGGCTTTTGCGCGATTTTGCCTAGTGAGTTGGAACTTCTTCATCGATTGTAGAGGTTCCCCCTTTAAGGAGCTAAGCAGGTAGTTGAATTTTTGTAGCTCGGAGAGATTTAAGAATGTACGTTTAAGTTGAAAAGCTCCCAAAAGTTATACCAGTCCCATATGTTGCCATTGAATGTTGGGATTGGGATTGTGGGTAGCTCCGGATTTTTTGCGACCGCAGTGATGGCGGCTTCATCTTTGCCACTGTTCGTAGTGGAGCGACGTGTTGAGAAGCTCAACGTGTGTCTTGAAGCCATGGATCCGAGCATGAAGGAGTACAAGGTATTCGAAAGTATTGCCAATCACTTCTTCAGCGGTACTCGTGTACTGTGCGAACTCTTCTTCGTTATTCGGTAGCTTTTTCTATTCGGTATAGATACTCGGTAGATATTAGGAAAAGGGAGTGCCTTTTCGAATATGGTAGCGAGTTCATCTAGTGCGTGTTGAATCTTTGTGGTCATGTTTTCTAGGGCTGCAACTCCTTCTTCTAATTGCTGTAGGCTTTTGTAAATAACGGCGGGCGTTATCTCATCTTGCAGGTTTTGAATACTGATTTCTTCTAACTGCGCGTCTTTGAATCGGGTTAGAACTTTTTGCAATTGGTTAGTATACCGCGTATCCGTTTGTGACTTGCCAGTTATAGGTTGGACATGATTGAAGAATTAACGTATTTGGTTGTGATTTCCTTGACCTGATGGATCGTTTCAAGCGGCCAATGCACCAAAATTTGCTGGGACGGCTCGTTGATATAAGAATACTTTAAAGTTGAAAAGCTCGATACATCGGCAGGCTACCGCGAGTCATTGTAAAGGCCAGATATGCATTCAGTCACCTTCAACGATACTTAATGAAGTCGAATGCATGGCACATTCCTTAAGGATTGATCAACGCCTAGAGCTTTATCCTTTTTATCCTTTTAATGACAGTAAAGCATCTATTTCCAGAGATCAGTTGGGAACACATCGTTAAATTCGCATTGTGAAACCTAGCCACATTATGATTAATGATTTTGGGAAAGATGTATTTACATATTTTTATTTTACTTTCTTTTAAATGACCCATTATCACATCTACTGTGCGGATCCCAACACTTCTCGCATTCGATTCGTTTTCCTCGGATGCAACATGGAGAGTAGCCTTTGAATACTTCGCTTCTTGTTTCGGCTGTTGCTTCAGAATTTCGCCTTGTTTATGAATATCGTAGAATGCTGGTCGAGTGGATTCTCCTTGCAATTTTGGGTATAGCCGGGGTAAGGTGTTCTCGAGTGGACTAGAGGAGAGCTTGGCACAGAGGTCGAACTGGCGCCTTTTACTTCGTGATCGGCGGCACCGCTAACCAATGCACTATCGCTACCAACGTCTCATCATGGTGCCATAACTTGGAGATGTTTCTGTTATTATCGAACTTCGATATACAAATACAATAGAAACAAATACATTGTCCTCTTCGCCTGTAGCAATCTCTTACGCTATCTGTGCACTAGACAGGTAAATCTCTACGAGTTTCATGAAGTCGAGCAAACTCCTCCTAAAAGGTGTTTTTTCTAAATCGTAGTGTGAATGAAGTAGTGTCATTCGGATGACGCATTGTACAACACCATAGGTGGTAAGCAATTGATTTAAGGATACAGATAGATAAGGATTCTTGCCTCGATAAACCTTTACAGTAAAACAAACAATTGTTAGGAAAATTCATCATTTCTTGTAATAATTTTTTGGTCAATTTTTGTATTAAAATCTGACAAAGAATGAATCAAAAATTTCCATGTGTTTTCTATTGCAAGCACTTAAAGTCGTACTGAAGCCGAATAATTCTCCTGTAGAGGCTATTTGACGTACAACTTTGTTTGCCGGGTTGAGTTCCATTCCCGTATTAAACTGTTCCGTAAATGGAAACAGTGGAAAGTTATCTGAGGTCACTGAAGCGGGAAACTGCGGTTTCAAACCGACCAGAAGCATGAGAGGTCCATCGTCGCCGTACCTTTGCGGAACTACGCCTGAAACAAGAAATATGTCAAGTTCTGATGGATATCATCATTATTTTAGGAGATACTAGGGAAAGATTCAATATTATCTGTCATTTTGGGGTTAGTCACGATGTTACGCGGTCCGACCTCATTTGGTGATTGAAGATGCAGCTCTGTCGCACTAAGATGGAATTGGATTCAAGGAAGAAGTCCTTGTTTCTGCTATATCAAGTTGACTTGTGCTTTCCGTATGAGTGCGGTGCTGTATGCGTAGTTATATTAATACGCACGTGCTTGCGACCATATGGATTACCACAATGTTGCTGGGATCTTTGTAAAACTCCGGACCGCAGGTATCTGTGGTGGGGAACGAACTCGCTATTACTCTGCCGTGAAAACTGTAATAGGCAGTAAATAGAAAAGTTTACATTGTATGGGTTACACTCTATTCGTCGATTTAGGTGAAAGTGCAGATTGAAATGACCGAGAAATAGCGTTTATGCCAACTGTGACTGAAGATTACTTTCTCTGCCCCATGTCTACTACAGGAAAGCTTGGAAAGTTGGTTGTGAGTCATTCGAGGAAGGTCTCATACAAAATCTATGATGCTGGTTCTCTTCACCGTGAAGCCGGAGCTATTGGGATGGTAGAAACGGAATGAGAAATCAATAGGGTTGCTCGTTTTTTAAGAATCGCCTGTGCTGTTCCAGACAAATTCTTTCTCTACTTTTATCTATAAATGAAAAGAATACTCGGTGATATTCTTCAACTTTTTCTCGAAGTTCCTAAGTCCTTCTTATCTAATTTCATATTCCCTTAATTCTCCTGACCGTTCCGGTCCGTTTTCGCCGTTCTGCTTATCGGTTAACTAAGGATACTTGCCTCGAACGAATAGAGCCCATTTCTGCCCAATATGAATACCTTTAGAAAAAGAGTAAGTTACCTCAACGCGTAGTATAAGAACTAAATCATTTACTTGGTACGTGGCTTTAAGCCATAGCATGCTTTCTATTAAAAGGTATCTTCAAGTTTCTTATGGATCTCCAACGAACGCCTGCCAGTGTTTCGGGATTGTCACCACAAGCAGGCGCCAACCATGGATGAGACGCTTGCCACTAGTTTTCTTCAATGGCGAAGTCATTTTTATGGGTGTAATAGGAGAATGGGAATTCCTTCCCAGCTGGATTAACTGGGAATTAGTCCTCAGCTTTAACTTGCAGGGCAACAGGGCATCACCTAAGAACACCACGTGTCACCAAAGTGAACCATTAAGAAGATGGAGTGGGAAAGGGAGAGGAATTAACGTTAACAAAAGCAAAATACTAATGCACTTATTTGGCACGAGTAAAGAAAGAAGTTTTCTTTAGTCTTTTAAACGTTCTGTATTCTTCTCCTCCCAACGGTTTACCGCCTCGTGGCTGGGAGGTGTTCCTGGGTGTCGTATTGCGATGAACAGCGGAGGGATTCACCCCCGGTAGGGTCTCCCAAGCTGAGAAGGAGTCCGACGTTTCCACCAGGAAGCCTAGCTAAGAATAAACCATTACCAGGATCCACCACCGTCCTAGTATCAAAGTCGCATGGTGATAAATCTCCCTCTGATCCACAAGGGTTGCGACTGCCTGGGGTGGTGAAGACCCGGGGCAGACTTTGGCCAGGTTGACCTCGGGACTCCAGGAAACCGTAGTGGCTTAACTAGGAAATCTCCGAAAAGTGGAGATTATGCTGGGGCACGCACAACCAGTGAGGACGGGCCATTCAAGTATCAAGTATCAAGTAAGTATTCTTCTCTCCTTTTTCTTGCAACAACTGATTTTTCGTAGAGGGAGGAATTTTTCTTTAGCGTTTATTCGATATTGCAGAAAATCTTGGCGGTAAAGTGCAAAGTGACGAAATGTGAATTTCATGAGATGAATAGTGCAGTGGTAGCAATGGTGTTCAAAGGTTCAATCCCCTGAATCAATGATTCGATCCGACATAGAAGCCACCAACCTTCCCATCATTCTGAGGTCAGCAAATTGGTAACAGAATTGTCAGCATGGTTTCGGACCAGTTTACTACCTATAACGAACGTTAGAGCACTCTAACACAGCTCCTCTACGATTCTTGGGAAAGCCAACTCAACCAGCAGTTAACGATATTCACGGCGTGAACGAAAATCCCCAGAAGCCGAACACAAGCGCAAAAAGTTGGAAGACTTTCACGGATAGGATTTTTTGGATATAAACAATAACGACACACACGTGGAATCGATCGCCGGGCCCATAGCACTCTAAGTCTTCCGTCCGTCCATGGTTGGCAAACTGGTACCACACTTGTCTGGGAGCATAGCAGCATTGGTTCGATGCATCGGTAGGCCACCGCGAATCACTGTAAACGCCAGATATGCATTCAATCATTTCCAACGATACTTAACGAAGTTGAATGAATGGCGCATCCCTCAGGAACTGGTCAACGCCGAGAGCTTTATCGTTTATCCTTTTAAATAATGACTTGCTGAGGTTAGCGATATCGTTAACCACTAATTTGACTTTTCGACTGAGATTTCTTTAAGAATCAGTAGGTCTGTTAAAGAAAGCCGTCCTGTCGAAGTTCTAAAGGGCTTAGGGCAAATCAACTGCTAACTGCTTCAGAAGTGCAAGTACAGCATCAAGTTAAAAATGGCTGCCGAATTGTTGGATAATGTATTAAATGGAAGTAAAACGAATGGACATCGCCGGAGTGACAAAGCAGCGTTTTTGTGAAATCACATATCGTGAAAATTTATGAGGGAGGTTTCAAATACTGGTATGGCCAATATTTCCTAGACACTTTCAAAAAATGGAGTGGGTTAGAAATAGCTTTATCTCACCTGGTAGTAGAAATAGTAATGTTTTCAGCAAATGGAACATTCGTAACCTCACAGAGAACAATAAGAAATCTCGCCATCCCCTTGCTCTAGTTTACCATCGAAAAACAAGAACGCTCCGGTTTTTGTTTTCAATTGAGCTGTTTCCAGAGAAAATGGTGTCAACAAAATTTTCCTACTCGGTACCCTTATATAGAAGATAATTTCACTGCGTAATTATAAAGGATAAAGCTTTCGGCGTTGATCAATTCCTGAGGGTGCGCCATGCATTCGACTTCATCAAGCATCGTTTGAAGGTAATTGTATGCATATCTGGCCTTTACAATGACTTGCCGTGGCCTACCGATGAATCGGGCCAGTGCTGCTACCCTCCCAGACAAGTCTGGTACCCATTTGCCGACTCCGGAGGGATGGAAGGCATGGTGGGTCATGGGCACGGCGATCG